ACACGGCGGGGCTCGGGAGGCCGAGGGCGGACAGAGACCGACCCCAGGACAGCACTGCAGCCCCAGCCCTCTGTCCGCCGGCCGAGCTGGGGGCGAGCGGAGCGGGACCCGACCACCTCCGCCCCGGCAGCGCAGCCCCGGCCCGTCCCGCTCCATCCCGCCAGGGATCCCGGCGCCTCTCCCAGCGCTGCCCCCTCCCGTCTCGACCCCCCCAGCCCCGTCCCCGCTCACCCTCGGGCCGCCAGGAGAGCGCTCGCCGCCGGTCCGCCCGCTCCCAGCGCCGCTCGGCCGCGTCCCGCGGGAAACTCCCGGGGGCGGGGAAGGGCGCAGGTAGCACCGCCCGCCCCTCGCCGAGGGCGGGGGACCGGGGCGGCCCCGGTCGCGGTTTCTATTTCAGTTTCCCGGCAGAGGACGGCCAGCGCCGCCCTGTCCCGGCCTGGCCGTAACCCCGGCCAGCGCTCGTCTCCTGCCCCGGCGGGGGCATCGCTGAACCCCTCTCCTACAGCCCCTCGCGTTCCCGTGTGCACATAGAAGGGATCTCTCAGCTGCACGCATTCATCAAATTTAAGCATTATCTGAATCAAACCAGCTGACACTTGGGTGGAATTTAGGACAACAATTTTAAGAATTTGTTACTGGCAGTAGGATTAAAACACTGCAGGACACGGTAGTGTGAATTTGGCAATTGCTAAAATTGGGCAGGACTACTTTTTATTTCTCATCCAAAAGGCAGTAACTGTTGCAGAACAGTGCTGCCCAGTAGCTCCTCTTCAGTCAGTTCGTTTTTAAAGAGACAAGTAGCACCTTTACGAAAACCAGCTGCCACAGCATTAGGAGCTGATGAGTTGAACTTGTCTCAAGGTGTCAAGAGACAAGATGCATTTTCTGTTTATTATCTGCAGTGTAATGACTATCTGCTTACTGAAGTTAGTGGTAAAACTTTCATTATAAAGTTTCAGGACAAACATTCACCTTAGGCTTCAGTGTTTACTAGTTCATACAAATCCTTTTCTGTTGATATGATCCAGACACACTGACTCCCTTGTTTAAAGGTTTTATGTTTGCTACCTCTCCTATATTGTACAAAATGGTCCAAAGTATGTCACAAATGACATTCTGAAATGTGCAGGGACTTGGACTCACTACAGGACTTCCTTTTCCTTAGCATCATAATTATGTATGTGGAACACTGCTAGCAGGGTTAACCTTTGCTCACACACAGTGTCTTCTCCAGACTATACAGATGATAAATACATTGGCAAGCCTCCACAAAAAAATATGTGCGTTGTTTGTTGTTCAACTCAGTGCATCTGCTAAAAAATGTCTGTGAGAAAAAGGTAAGAAAGCTGAAGATTATTAAAGAAAGACAAAAGAGAGGAAGAAAATTAAGGGAACTGAGGAAGAAGTTAAGCTATAGGAGAGGCCAGGCCAAGGAAAGGGCGGAATTGGCAGCACCTTGAAAGTGGGAGGTTAAGGAGGCTGAGTAACACATCCTTAACGTGCAGCACCTCTCACGCTAGGGTACTTGAGGTATTCTCTTTCAGGAACTTGCTTGTGCTATTAGTTTCCCAAAACCTACAATTAATTTTAATGAAACCATTTTCTTTTTTTAGACCAACTTCAAAGGGGGAAAGAGGAGGAGTTTCTCTTTCCACATCAATGAATTTAGGCAGGACAAGTCATAGGATTCCAGAGGAAACTTGCCAGAGAGAGAGAGGGAGGAAACACAAGTTTCTGCTCCATGGTATGCATATGTAGGATATAAATTGAATGGCTGTATTTTAGGTCAATCTACTCTGTCTTAATGATCATCCTGGGATACAAACCCAAGATCATTAGAGCACAGCAATTATTTACAGACCTTGACTTACTAGGAAGCTACCAAGAGTATATAGAGCTCTGCAGTGAAGACCTACTAACACACGAAGTAGCCACATGGTCCCTAACATACACTACAGATGCGCCCGCATGTTTTATATAAATGCCTGTTTTTAAATACTAAAGAAAATGACTTTTTCTTCAGTCCATACCGGGGGAACCATGCTGCAGGCCAATAACTACTTGCTGGGCACCCTGCAGCTCTCTGCCCCAACCACTGCATTTTTGATCCCACAGAACATGTCCTGGCATGGGACTAGACAAACAGAATCACAGAATCAATTAAGTTGGAAAAGACCTCTGAGATCATCAAGACCAACCTATGACTGAACACTGAGTGCCACGTCCAGTCTTTCCTTAAACACCTCCAGGGACAGTGACTCCATTCCCTCTCTGGGTAGCCTGTTCCAATGTCTAATCACCCTTTCTGTGAATAAATTCCTCCTAATGTCCAATCTAAACCTCCTCTGGCTCTTAAGACTATATCCTGTCATCCTGTTGCTAGTTGCCTGGGAGAAAAGGCTGACCTCCACCTGGCTCCAACCTCCTTTCAGGTGGTTGTAGAGTGTGATAAGGTCACCCCTGAGCCTCCTCTTTAGGCTAAATACCCCCAGCTCCCTCGGCCACTTCTCAATGGATTTGGGCTCTATACCCTTCCCCAGCTTTGTTGCCCTTCTCTAGACTCACTCCAACATCTCAATGTCCTTCCTGAACTGAGGGACCCAGAACTGGACACAGTACTTGAGGTGTGGCCTCACCAGTGCCAAGTACTGATGGAGAATCACTTCCCTAGTCCTGCTGGCTGCACTATTCCTGGTACAGACCAAATGGTTTACATCCCCTTTTCAAGTAGCCAGTCTGCCAAAACCTACATTAGGTCTCCATCACCTTGGCCATGCGACCCTTTGGGTTCACCTCCATGCCCACTCTCACTCTCCTGCCCTTGGCTGGTGGGGCTCATGCAAGGGGTCAAAGCCGGCCCTGGTCTGGGCTGTGGGTGCTTCCTCACACAGGTCAGGCAGCTGCCCACGGCCCACACCTCAGGCCTGGCTTGGGAAGCTCAGAGTATCTTGAATTGGAAGGAACCCACAAGGATCATGGAAGTCCATCTCCTGGCCCTGCACAGGACAGCCCCAAGAATCACACCATGAGCCTGAGAGCATTGTCCAAACACTTCTTCAACTCTGTCAGGCTTGGTGCTGTGACCCCTTTCCCGGGGAGCCTGTTCCAGTGCCAAACCACCTTCTGGGTGGAGAACATTTTCCTAATATCCAACCTTAATTCTCTCCTGACGCAGGTTCATGCCACTCCCTCAGGTTCTGTCAGCGGTCACCACAGAGAAGAGATCAGTGCCTGCCCCTCTTCGCCCCTCACGAGGAAGTTGTAACTGCAATGAGGTCTCCCCTCAGTCTCTTCAGCTGAACAGACCAAGTGCCCTCAGCCACTCCTCATACGGCTTCATCTCCAGGCCCTTCACCGTCCTTGTTACCCTCCTTAGGACGTTCTCTAATAGCTTAATGTCTTTTTTATACTGTGGTGCCTAAAACTGCACACAATATTCAAGGTGAGGCCGCACCAGTGCAGAGCAAAGCGGGACAATCCCCCACCTGGACCGGCTGTCGATGCCCCCCAGGGCACGGTTGGCCCTTCTGGCTGCCAGGTCACACTGCCGACAGCTCAGTTTGTTCCCTCTGCTTGCAGCAGGCAGCTGTCCGCACCCTGGGGCTGGCTGCGTCGTTTGCTCCCTGCCGCCACAGCTCTGCACGCCTCGGGCAGCAGCAGCACCAGCCACAACAAGATCCCTTCCCCCCCCCGCCGGCGCCGTGGGGCCGCTCCGCGCCCAACGGAACCGGGCTGAGCCTCGGCGGCCGCCGTGGAAAGCGGCGCCTGCGCAGAGCGGCGCGGCCGTGCGGGCCATGGCGCTGTGGCTGCTGCGGCGACGCCTGCGCCTCCCCGGGCCCGGCGGCCGCGGGCACGCCCGGCTCGGCCCCTCCGGCGCCGCCGCCGCCCAGCCCGCTGCCGAGGAGCCGGTCGAAGGTACGGAGGGGCTGCCGCGGGCCTTGGGGCCGTGCGGGGTCGGGCAGCATGGCGGGCGCTGCCGGGGCGCGTGGGGACGGGAGCGGCCGCCTGTCCCGCCTGTCCCGCTCGGCCCCGGGAGAGGCGCCGGGGCAGTGCCGGTGTCCCGGGCGGGAGGGGCTCTCAGGGCCCGGGCAGACCGGCCGGGCTGTGCCTTCCCGGGTGCAGCCCGAGGGGCAGAGTCCGCTGTCAGTGCCCGGGGCTTGGTTTATTTACCTCAGCTAGGGGTAAGTCAGGTGACAGAGGTTATCCTGGGAGACCCCCTCTGAAAAGCATAGGAAAGGCGTGACTGATGTGGTGTCTTTGGTGCAAGCCAAGAACTGGTGAGGAGTGTCCATCGCTGCTGTGTTGTAGCAGTTCATGTGGGTGTGAGCCTGAGGCCTGTGCTCATATTCATGTTTTACAGCTTGAAAACGTGAGGTACCAAGCGTTTCTTGAGGAGAGGAGACGATGAGGCAGTATTATCACAGCTTCCCAAAGCCAACAAGTCTTTTACTCTTTATATCCTTGTACTTGCAGATGTGCAGCAAAGTGGATTAAGAAACAACTCCAGATTACAGTTAATCATTCTTGTTTTGCTGCATAACTTTGATCATTAGTCTCATTTGGTTTGCTGCATGACTGTGTAAATGCTTGCATTAGCATCAGCATGCAGAGAGCAGCATATAGAGGATGGGGCTGTTTCTTTTAGCAGCAGTGCTGGTGTATGCATTTTTAAAACGACTGTGAAACTCTGGCACTAACTGGAAATGTTTTGTGGAACAGGGGAAGAAAGCAAAGTGGACTGCCTGTCATGCATTTGAAATACTTACAACCACCATTTGGATGTGAACGTGTGAATTTGTGCCATGCTCAGACTGTGCAAAAGACAGAGGCAGAAAATGTCAGAGCACATCTGCTGTAGTAACTACGTGTGTACAGGCAGTAAATCAGGCAAGAATCACAACCATTCTGGCCTAATGCAGAGGGCTGTGAGAGAAGATCTGGTTTTACCTTCTGATCTTGCAACTCATCCAATGGACTTGTGTTTTCTGCATCTTGGTTACTTCACCCTTCTCTGCTCCTATGGAAACGAGGCTATGTGTCATCTTCATAAAGTGTTTCATTGGTCTTCTGATGAAAAATGGTATAAAAAACTAAGCCATTGAAACAACTGCTTTGGTGACTATTTACTAGTCTCCATGAGAGCTCAATAGACTTACAAAATAAAAGATTTTTAAAAAATAAATAAAAGTAATACTAACAAGTACCATTTCATGATAGTTAAGATTTTCATGAAGCAGCTATATCACATGGGTTCCTCAATATCAAAAACATAGAATAAGGAGCTCTTTGTTGAATCTTCCTGTGGCAGATAGTGCTGGGAAATGCTCCCCAGCTTCCCGATCCGAATGTCAGTATTAATAGGTAGCAGCTTCACAGACTCTGCTGATGTGATGTGGTCAATGCATTAGTTTGAGAGTTATGCAGGGAAGTGATTATAATTTTGGATTTGGGACATGGCCCCCTTGCCTGTATGCAATGAGGAAAAAAGTTTCCATGTTTCTGGATGTTCAGTATGTCTTGATTCCATGTGGCTTCTGTAGGCTGTCAGCAACAGTACAGGTTGCCAGTAGTGTGGTGAGATACAACTGATCTGTGGGTTTCTTGTAGTGAAGCAGATGAAAGTGTATTGTTAAATGAAATTTTTGAGTAGGAGTTTACTGTAAAGGAAGGCGATGAGTTGTAAAAGTATCAAGTGTTGAAATGTTCTGAAGGTAAAAGTGCTGGTTTTGTGGTAGCAGAGAGAGGTTATGTTTTTAGTGCAGCTTGCCAAAGGTCTGCCTCATAGCCTAGCTGACAGTTCCAGGCTCTTATGTGTGTGCTAAGTTTTTTGGTGGTTAACAGCAAGTTAAAGAACAAAGACTCCTTGTATCATCAAGCGTCCCATGGCATCAAGGGAAGTCAGTATTGCTTTCTTCCTACATTTCCTACTCCTCATTATTACAAATCTATGCATTTGTTACACAAGCACACTTATATTTCAGTCTTTTATTATTTCTTCATGATTTTCTCTTTTGCACCATCTTGGAGAACCAGGACAAACATTTATTCAGTTGTTCGACACAGAGGAAGAGATTAAGTGTACTAAAAATCAGTTTTACATCTTTCTGTTTATGTAGAAGAACCTTGATGCTCATTTCTTCTTACAGATGCTGAAGTCAATACCAGAAAGAAGACATTCACTGAGGTCCAAACAGAACGACTGGATCAAGCTGAACGGACTGTTTTAATTAAATGCCCATCAAAACTTAATGAAAAAAAGTTATTGCAGTATTTATCCAGTCATGGAAACGTTAGAAGTCACTTCTTCTTTGAAAATCGTGTAAGTAATTAACAATGTGAACTAAAATCTAGACTCAGATAAAAAGAAATACCGGCATTTGGTTATGTCCTCATACATGTAAGTTATGCAAATTATATATAATTAGTATATTAAATCAGTTTTTATCTGTGCTAATGTTTACAAGTTGCTCAGCAGCAGATTTTTATTCAGAAGTCATCTAAGCAACACCTCTGAGGGGTAGCCAGCAACCCATTTTGCAGTAAATCTTTGAAACTTTGATGTTGCACTGTTCTTTGTTCAAACAATAGAGATAACTATTTCTTATGTGTTTTGAGCATTTCAGGTGTGAAGATAAGTAGATTTCAGAACTTTATGTTTAGTGTTTACTGCCAACAATGGCACATCATAAATATATTTAACCTCTTGTAGAAGTGTCTAAAACATGTTGAGATACAGAACCTTGTATTCAGTTTCAGGGCTGGCATATTAAACTGTCTCAGTACTCCCAGGAACATCTGAATAATATCAGTACAATGAGTTCAAGGCTTGTATGCATTTATCTAACCCTGTATTTGCATTCTTAATGTTTTAGGGCATCAATGCTTTAGTAGAGTTTTCAGAAAAGAGCAGTATAGCCTCGTTGCAGGATGCTGTTGGAATCCCAAATGCTGCAGAGCATCATGTTGTCCCATTTAAATCAAGACTTTTTACTTTCACGCTGAAAAACCCAGTGAGTCAACCTGCTGAAGAGACACCACTTCACCTCTCTCCTCAGTGTCACATTCCAGTGACAGGCCTTATTCAAAAGCTTTGTCTTGCAGACAATGTAAGTAGAGGTTTCTAGATTTCTCTCAATTAAAAATGAACCACCTTCATTTCAGATTTTCAAGTGGTCATGTGAAACTTAAAAAGCAATTTATTTCTAGTAAAAAAAAAGTAACCCGTATTAGAATTTTATCTGTTTCTCCTACATTGAAACAAATCAATTACATTAGTCTTTTTAATTGTGAACTTAATTTTTCCATATGAAAGAAACCTGTTAGAAAGTTTAAAAAATAATCTTCTAATTGCAGTGATATTAAGTGGATGAAAATATATGTTAATAGATAGAAGACTGGTTATTGTATGTTTACAGTTTTTATTTTTCTGAACTAGATAAGCAGTCAGATGTACATTCTACTGAATGAGTATCAGCTTACAGAAGAAAATATCAGGCTCCGATTTCTGGCCTGTTCTTTGGTTCGGGATTTTGCACGGGCATATTTTCCAGACAGCACAGTAAAGCCATTTGGCTCTTCAGTCAACACCTTTGGCAAACTGGGATGCGATGTGGACATGTTTCTGGACTTCCATGATACACAAAAGAGTCCTACAAAAATGGTAAGATTATGCTGTGCGTCTTCAGTTTATTGGATTTCTTCAACAGAGCAGCTCATTCACAGGCAGGAATCAGTTTATTTATATTCAGTTTTACATGAGTTCATACTATAGATTGTGAACAAGTTAATTTGAATGTTTGGACTTGAAGACTTTCAAAAGCTGGATGTGACACATGAAAGAGATCTTTCTTGCAATAGGAAGAAAATGATTTGGTGTTTATATAAACTTTGTACTGTTAGGGTGAATTTCACTATGAAAAAACCCCTCATCCTCCAAAATTGATTCAGCAGAGTCAGACCTTCTCATTCTGCTATTGCATTTTCTTCTCTGGAGCTGCTGGGTCTCATAGCCGTGCTCTGTTAAAGCTTGGCTTTGATTTTTAAGGTCCTCCATGTTCTAAAGCATAGTAAGTTTGTGCATGTGTGAGCATGTGCATTTTGAGAGGGTTGTCAGGTTCTTTTCCTTAGCTGAAAGAGTTGACTTTATGCTCCAGGAAAGTTACTGGATTATGTACTGAGGTGCGTATGTATATGTGTGTGTGTATATATATATATATATATGTACACACAAACAATAAGAGTGTGTGGAGGTGTGAAGGCTTAGAACCTGGGATAGTGCTGGTGAGTAGTTACAGGTGACACAAATGTTCATATTTTTGTTGTCTGTCCTGAGAAAATTACCATATTAACAGCATCTGATTTTCACTGTGGAGGAGCTTGAGGATAAGCTGGAATATGTGAACTGTAGATGTTTTGGGGCCCAGGACCAAACAGGAACTGAGACAGATCAATAATCAGATACTTTCTGTTGTCGGACTTTCTGTAAGATACTTACTAATTACTTGAATGCCTCATTGATAATACAACAGTAAGCATCAAGACAAGCAGGGATTACTAAGCAAGTGCAGAGGCTTGAAGTTGAAATACAGTCACTTGAATTTGTTGACCAAAGTACAAAATTTGCACCACTACCTCAAGAACCTGAGGGTTACAAGAACAACAGTAAGCAAAGTGATTGGCCAAGTTACTATCTTTTTCTTTCTGTTACCTACCTCAATGCTGAATAGTTACAGGCTCCTTTCACTTTGAGCCAGTCCTACTGTAGCATGCAGCTACACAGCCAGAGGGGATTAGGGACCTCTGTCCTCACATGTTCCAGCACACGTGCTGACTGGAGAGCTGTTGGCAGGAGGAGAGCAGGAACGGTCACCTTGGTGATTGCCAGAGCCACTCAGAAATTCAGCACCTAAAGTGAGTTTGTTGGAAAGGCTGCAAGGTCCATAACTTCTGAATTGTTTCACCCAACTGTGAGTGCACGTTTTCTCTGCACCAATCTGGTGACAAGAAAAATAACCTCTGTGTCTCAGCTGATGAGTTAGGTCACTGTAATGCTGTTTGCATAGTATGCATTCACCCATGACATGTCCCAAGGGGAAGGATAAGTCAGTGTCAAGTATTGGATTAGCAAACAAAATTATCCGAGGCTTAAAAACACAGAGAGACTATGAAGAGAACAGACATTTCATAAGTATGAAGTTATTTTATTGAGGTAAAAACTACAAATATGGCAAATCAAACTACAAAGACCTACAGGACGATTAATTTCTGATGTTGTTAAATATATCTTCACAATATTTTTGTCAGAAAAACTATATGATGTGAAGTGATTATTTCAAGTCTTACAGAGGCTTATCTTAATTTTGAAGGATTAAGTAATTTGCATGCTAAATTTTTTACGTTTTTAGTGAAAAAGACATTTTCGTTTGCATTGCTGGTTGATTCACTAACAACTTGGTGTTCTCTGAGGATTTGAAATGGAATCACTGGTGGCTTGAAATTAATGGTATTTTGTTTATGTTCTACCCCTCTTTAATTGTATGCTCCTCTTTTGCAGTTGGAGCATATATGCTCTCTTGGGAATTCCAGAATTACTTGTTTTAGCCACTAGTGATACATAGTAGTATTATACCTTCATTTGAACAAGTAACTTACAGTAAGTTCATCACTATTAGCCTGGAAGAATTTAATCACTGAAAAAGAATATAAAAGAGAGAGCAATATGTTTTTACCTATTTTAAGTTCTGTGGATTTTGCTTTGAATAATTCTTGTCTTTAAATCTCTAGTTGTACAAGCTCCTTTGTAAATTGTTGTAGTCTTTCAGAAGTATTTTTAAATGTCTCTTTTGTTCTAGAGTTAACAGATTGCTTTTAAAATTCTGTGTTAGAAAAAAGGTCCCTTTGAAATGGAGTTTCAGATGAAAAGATTACCATCTGAAAGATTAGCGACTCAGAGGATTCTTTCTGTGATTGGTGATTGCCTTGATAATTTTGGTCCTGGATGTGTGAGTGTACAGAAGATACTCAATGCTCGCTGCCCTCTGGTGAAATTTTCCCATCAGCCGACAGGATTCCAGTGTGATCTGTCAGTGAGCAACAGGTGAGACCTGATTTCAAAAAGTTTAGAAAGAATTCCAAAGTACCTAAAACGTTCTGAAAACCTGTAACGACAACTGTTTGAGTCTGCTCCTTTCTGTGTTCTTAACAAATGTGAATGTTGGCTCTGAAAGTAAAAAGGGTATTTTTTAACTCCTAGAGCTCAGGTTTTGCTGTGGTTAAGTTATCTTTCTCTAGCATGGGAAATAGGCCCTTTCCTTCTTCCTAAGGGCCTGCATTCACCTGTTTCCTGGGACGATCCCTGGAAAAGGAGTCCGTGGTCTTCCTGCGGTGCCGCCAGGGGGCGCGGGCTGCCTGGAAATGCCCCTCACGGCTCCGCTCCCTCCGCGCCCGTTCGGTGACGGCAAAGCGCGGAAACTGTCCTGAATTACCCGAAGTTCTGTTTCAGAACGTGCAGAGGTTATTAAGGCAAGATTGGACAAATGTCTTGCAATAAAATTACTTTTCTATATGCAGCCACAGTGAAAGCTGGGATGCAGTTCTGTGCAAGCATCCTTGTAATTCACTGCTGGATGTTTTGGCTGGTTGGGACTGCACATCTTGTCTTCTCATCGCTTGGAGTAATAACAAACCTCTGTGGACACCATAAGGCACCTCACGGTTGAAATTTCAGAAGTCCAGGTGTTACAAAATTTTGACCTAGCAAACATCTCCAAAAGGCCATGCTGAATTTTTAGAAGAATTCAGCGCAAGTTTTGGGGTAAAATCTGCAACTATAGTTCAATGAGCACTTCAGGCTAAAACTGAACCAAAATAAGTTTTACTCTAACACTCTGCTTCCATTTTTTTTCTACTTTTTCTTGCCCTCCCATTTGTACGCTACAAGAATGTTTGTATAACAATGTGATGAAGCAGATCAAAACCTAACCCATCTGAAAACCTTTATCCTTCCAGATTACTGTTTAGTCCTGCTGAAGAAAACAAGTAATCATTTGAAAATTACAAAATTGACTTGGTTTGCAGATTCATTGTGTCTCTGCACTTAGTGTATTTTTCAGTGCAGCATTTTATTACTCTTTAGATGAAAGTTGTAAAAGAAGTATTTTATTATATAGTAGGATAGAGATATTATCTAATGTACCTTGAAGGCAGTTGTGGCTAAATTATGTTTTTTCACCTCGATTCTTTGTAGCTTGACTCCTGAGTACTTGATGGTGGTTTTTTGTTTTTGGTTTTTTTCTTCTACTGTGATGTGGAACAAGGAAATGGGAAACAGTGCAAATGCAGTATTATTATTTACCCCAGACCATATTTTTCTTACGGGGGAAAAGTACATGTATTTCATCCTGGACAATTTCAAGCATTCCAGCCCAAACCGTTCTACAATTCTATAATTCTTTTTCTATTTTCTAAAATGCATAAATGTTACTTTTTTTTTTGTTTTAATGGATGCCTTCTTATAATTAACAATGAACATTGCATCTGATACGTTACAATCCTCTGGTCATTTACATGTCTTTTATTTTTCATTTCTTCTTCAGCATTGCTATCAGAAGTTCAGAACTCTTGTATATCTATGGCTGTCTGGATTCCCGTGTACGAGCGCTGGTGTTCACTATACGGTGTTGGGCCCGTGTTCACGGACTTACAAATAGTGCTCCTGGTACCTGGATTACCAACTTCTCTCTGACCATGATGGTCATGTTTTTTCTGCAAAAGAGATCACCACCTATCATTCCAACACTAGACCAACTTAAAGAACTGGCAGGTAAGGACAGCTCTTTCTCTGTTTATTGCACTTTATTGTTTATTTCATCTTTGTTTTCTCTAAAAGTGATAAATAAACCCAAGCCATCTCTTTATGCTCTCAAATACTAATGGATATTACGTGTGCCTTAAGTTTGAGGGAATACACAAGTTTTACTTGTATTTTTTGTGAAAATAATGCATTCTTAAATGCAAAATAAATCCATTTTCAGTACAATAGTAAATTCTATATAGAAGGGTTAGACTTACTCTGTGCCTCAGATAATTAAAAGTAATTTATTTGTTCAGTGCTCCTGTGCTGAATTTTTTGTTTATTTTGTATTTTATTTTTTAGAAGACTTGTAGGGTCTCCAATGTCTCTGAAGTTAAGGATTTTGTGCAGATTGATATGATGTGTATTGTTTTATAGATAACAAATGTTTAAAAGAAAGGCTGTATCTTCTCACAATTTGTAATATCCTTGAGATTGTTCAGGCCATCTGCAAAACATCACAAACCAGCTGTTCTGGCTGTTTCATACACAGCTTTCAGGGTTGATTATCTTCAGAGAATCTTATGAAAGCACAGAGAATGACACCTCAAGTTCTTAATTCTTCATTCATGCCTTCTGCTTACTGACATGCTTCCTTGGAAGCTTTGAGTGCTTTCAGTGGAGAAAAAGGTCTGTGTTCAGTTGCTTTAAAATAATTTTAAACATTCACATCAGAATTCTGTAGAATTTTTTATACATAAAATACCTCTTCTGAAAATTTACAACAATATTCCTAGTTCTCTGAAGTTTTTCAGAAAAAGGCAGTGGACGCTCTGGGTCTGATTTTTTTGCAACTCTCACGTAGGTATTAACCCAAGAGAGTTGTGCTGTTTAGTGTATAATACAGCCCTGTATGCAGATGTCATATACCTTATTCCTGTAGGCTTTTGAAAATATGCCATTTGCTCATGATTCTTCTCCTTTGCTTGTCTGTAGACTTTTTTCTTTTAAATCTTTTACCACTTTAAGTTGAATCTTTAACCTAAAAGTTCACTTGTGAACTCCTAATTTTTGTAATATGGTAGCATTCATTGATTTCAGTCATGTCTGTTATCTGAATTTCATTAAATACAATGGCATTTTATTGTTTATTGTGTCAAAATATGCCCATTTTTTTCAGGTGCAAAAGACAAGCATATAATTGGAGGATATGATTGCTCTTTTGTTAGTGATTTAAGGAAGATTAAACCTACAAAAAATACAGAAACACTTGGTAGGTAAATCTCCATAATTTTTTTTTTTTAATGAGCATATTGAAAATAAACTTTTCCTTAATGTTACTCATGGCCCTTGTTTTTCTTTCCCTTAGATGTATTGTTGGGTGAGTTTTTTGAATATTTTGGAAACTTTGATTTCAGAAGGAATTCCATAAATCTTCGAAAGGTAAACGAATTTTAATTGCTCATCATTATCAATTGAATCTCACCATCTGCCACTTGATAAACTACATATATTAAGCAACAATTTCTGTCATTTTTCATTGTATATAGAAAGTACATTTATCCAGAAACTGAGATCTTTCTTTGAAGGAAGAGTGTTTTCCTCTCAGAGCCTAATAACTTACATACCATTACGAACATCTACAGTGTCATTACCTGGATATGTTGGAAAGCACAAAATCATGTTAAGCCTGTATGATTTTACTTGAAAGCCCTGTAATGAAAGTGGCAATTTGAAAAAGTCAAAGCTATTTTGCTTCTGTGAGAGGAAAACTTTTAAAATGTCATGATGTATGTCACAGCAAAAGTCTGACAAACCCTGTACGCCAACAGGCTTTGCACTTAAAACTGGGAGTCCAGACCCAGTGAGAGTCTGCATTAAAACTTACAGCTGAGTTCTGAGTTTGCTTTTGACACTTGCGTTTTCCACTGCAGTTTCTATCAGCCTACGGTGACTGTATGTACAACTCAGTAAGCAGGGCATACATGGTTATTCTGTGCTATTCACTTCAGTTGGCTTTATATGTTTAAGTCATTCTATTTATTGATCCATGTGTGTGCATGCAAGTATAGTAGAAATATATGAAAATATAACTACCCTAACTTGCATCTGTTCCTGCTGGGCTGCTGACAGGGTAGGGGTTCCAATGCCATGTTGCTGTGTGGACACCCATTTGTGTCCTGTTTCCTGGTTGGGTGCTGTGGGTCACTGGCACAAGAGCTCTTTTTGCAGTTGCAGGTTGATCCTAGAAGCTGATTCATTAAGGTGGAGAACTTCTGTTTGCCACTAAGCCTTAAAAAGACAAGCAAAACCATGAGTTTGGAGCCTGAGCTAGTTAAGGGAAGTGTCTGTGCTGCTGATTTTTTTCTGTTTAACTAGTCTGTCCTCTTGGTCCTGGGACAACATGTACATAGACACTTCCTGGACCAGGAGTAGCTGGTGGGTTCCTTCTAGAGCTTATGATAGAAGGCTTGAAGAGGTTCTGGAATACCAAACAGGTCAGCTAAGTAGCACTGATAAGCACTGAAATGGAAGTGCATTTAAATAGCAAACCTACACAGTTGTCAACTACATGTGTTGTACAATACCAACTGACCAAAAGTAAACCATGACCTCAATAGCTCTGTGCTTAGAAGACAGACCGAACTGGGAGGGATTTCAGCCAAGGCAGTAATCTTGTTTAGTTACAGTAGCTCTGTGAGCTCTCTGAGTACTGTGGGATGAATGGTTTGAACAGTTCAAGTGCCTGCAATAGTTTATCAAACTGGGCTACACAGGTTCATATGACGTACTCATGCTGCCTATACACAAACAGAGATAGGAGAAGGGGGTTGCAATGGGTGAAGTCTGAGGTTTGTTGAAAAGCAAATGGGAGAATGGCCAAAAAGACAGGTTAAGCTGTAGTTGCGTGTTCTTTGCCTTGAAGGAAGTCTAAGCTGAATGTGGCAAGGAAAACCACCACTAAGAGGATTCAGAGAACAGGAATCATTCAACAGTCAGGTTGACAGGAAAATTAACTTGATTAATAACGACTGGGTATTTTGCAAAAAGTTCTCTAGTAAGTCAAAACACTTTTAATGCTCATGTAATAAGTCAAGTGATTTGTTGTTTGCTCAGCCTATAGTACATATATGCAACTTCTGCTTTTTCTTTACACTGTCTGCAGGGAAAGGAAGTAAATAAACCTGAGTCATCTCCTCTTTATATCTGGAATCCCTTTGAACAAGACCTTAATATCAGCAAGAATGTTAATCAGCCACAGCTGGAGAAATTCATAGCTATGGCCAGAGAAAGTGCCTGGATTTTACAGAAGGAAGATAAAACTCAGAGAATAATCAGTAAAGAACCTTGGGGACTGGCAGCACTGCTGATACCGTTTGGGAAAAGTAATTCCAGCAAGATGAAGAATAGGATGAAAGGAATAGGAAGTGAAACAATCAGAAGCCTCTTGGACTCTTTAAAGTTAAATAATGCAAACAGCCAACAAAAAGCAGTGGGAAAATGACTTTCAGCACAGAAACACAGTAGCTAATATTCTGTTTTAGGAACTGTATGTGACATGCAGTCCGAAGAACATAACTTTTAATATTTCTGTTATGGGGAATGGAGAGTCAAATGATCTCTGTTTTTCATTGTGATTCTTTTTGTACAGGTCTCCTTTCTGTACATTTTTCTCCTCCTTGCTCTTCACTTTTCCATCTGCTTTATGAACGAAGAATATTCAAATGGAAATTTTACTGGTACATTTTGGAAATAGCCTTCAGACTGACAGGAGCAGAATGGGAAAGAGCCTTTGGGAATTCTGTTGACTAACATACAAATGATATGCTAAGTAACAGCTCAAGAAACAGCCACTTTTCAGTGAAACCACAGTTTGAAAGAAGATGAATGTGTTGGAACTATTGCTTCCAATCCAGTCATGTACTGAAAGCCAGTAAAACCGAAGTGCATGCATCTATTTTTGCTATTGTTTTCCATTCATGTAGATAGTGCCAAGACAAAATAAAGATAATGGAATTAGATAGTAGGGTTTGCAGTTTCCTAAAGCATTGCTCTCCAAGGGTAGTGCAACTGTTTTGTGTTGGAAAAGTGGGTTTGCTCTTGTATTTACCACCTGATTTCAAATTTATTTAGTCAGCTCTCCTTTGTTTTCTGTACCCATAGGACTGGTCCCCACCCACATTTGTGTAATGTTTCTCATTTTGCCTTCAGCCTCATTTTAAACCTGTATTTCAGGTTCAGGCAGGGGCTCTTGTATGCTCTTCTTGCTTCATCACTCTATTCAAAGTTGCTGCCTACTAAGTGACACCAAAGCCTTCCTGCAGAGGGATCTGTCCCATGCAGAGATCCATAGAAAATCATGTATCATGCTGGAGTCCTGTTCCCAGTCTTGCCTTGGTTTTCACATACTCAGCAGAGTGGTGACTGTCTCTCTTCCAGATCAGTTGGGCCAGCAGAGTCAATGCTTTTCACTGACTTAAAACATTGAGTGCTCTGCCTCTGTCCATCTGCCACAAAAAGGAGTGTTTTCAGAAGAAGGGGGAAAGGGGAGGGAAGGAAGGAAGGAAAGAAATCAAAAAGGGAAATGGAAAGCAGGCAAACATCAGACTTTACAAGTACATTTGTGAGTATTTCACCTGTCCAGTTTGAGAGCCACTCATGGATTATAACTAAATGGCAATGGTGACAACTCACAGATTGTTGTCTTTATTCTTAATAGAAATTCCGTAAATGAAATTACTTTGTTCAAATTATCATACAGCTGCAACATGATTACTGTTTCAATTTCAATATTTTTAGATTCTTTCATGTTGCAGTGGTATATGATTTTTTGTAGACTTCCCTTCTAATTGTGTAGTCAGAAGTCTTTTCCCTCATGTATTATTCATTGAAAATACTGTAATAAGCAGTAATGCATACTTCCAAAGTACCGGTAAAAAACGGACAAGGAAAAGTATTTTCCAGCAGTTGACAGACTAGAGGGTTAGACCTTCAGATCAATTCCATATTAATTTATTCAGAGTTTAAAATAATACTCAAATATATCTTGTTTCTGATTAATAAATGTTTTCTTGAATAATGACTCACGTAGTCATTATCTCAATTGCTGAAATTGATTCTCATTTTAACTTCTTCAAGAAGTTAATTTGAATTTGAAACTTAGTTTTCTTTCTAAATCTTGATATGAGAACTTCTTTTTGAAGGCTGATATGCAGTTTATTGTAACTTTTTATTGGTGCTAACCCAAAGCCTTTGAAAACAAGCTTGGCACAATGCTGTAAGGAGCCTGTTGCTGCCTTAATCTTTACAGGACCTAGAGGTACATTTTCTGCTGTTTACCCAGCAATAGACTTTGGAGCTTTTTGAAGACTAGGGCAGTACTCAAGTAGTTGTGTTTTCTTTTTTCTAGATAAACCAAATGGGTAAGGGTGCAATAATAAGAAAATGGGTTACCAGGGAGAGAAGCATGCAGCAGAACTGTGGCAGTGACTACCCATGTGCGTTATATTCACAGTCATCCACTGACATAGGTAGGAAAGATTTTATGTGAATTTTGACACGTAGATACAGGACACTTGTAGACAAATAATACATTTTGTATTCTGGTTATATGGTTGAGGCATGCTGAAGCACAAGCTTCATTTGTAAATGGTTATAGATGTTCAAGCTGCTTAGTATTCCTTAAAAGGCAGGGCAGAACACCATTACTGTACATGCACTGTCTTTCAGCATCACTTTTCTGTTTAGACTGCCTGTCCCTTTTGGGAATGGTTCTGAACCTTTGTCATGGCTGCAGGCCAGCTTCTGAAAAGAGGTGAAAGAAGCCAAAAGCAGTGTTGTAGCAATGGAATGCACAGGTGATTTTTTCAGATGTCTGCAAGTCCAGGGGGCTGGAGACCAGGGAGCTGCTGACTGAAACCTTGAGGCTTTGAGGATCAGCTCTCACTGATGATGCCAATAGGCCCAGTGGGCAGCTTTCATAGAGGAGGCTGGAGATGGAGATGGAGATGGAGATGGAGATTGGAGATTGGAGATTGGAGATTGGAGATGGAGATGGAGATGGAGGGCTGATCATGAGCTTCCCTAGAGCATGAGCTGTGTCTGGGAGAAGAGCTGAGTGATGCTAGAGGAACTGAAGCCACCTGTGGGAAGAGAACCAGACAAAAGAACCAAGATTTGAGGGAGTGCATTTATCAAATCAAGAGAGATGATGTGAATATAATTTCCTAGGGGCTGCAGTCTTGAAGATAGTTAGAAAAAACGAATATGGTTCTGTCAGTGAAAACAAGGGTTGGATATTTGTCAAGAAAGGACTATGATTATGGTTGCATTTGAGAGCTCATTCATATGGTCCAAAAGCATGTAAAGAATATCTCTTTGAGAGTGAGGCAGAAAGTTTTAGTTACTTCTCAAACTTGGTGCTGATATGCTGTATGCTGTATGCTGTATTGTATGGTAAGGCTGTTAGGGAGGTCACATGTAAGGAACATGAGTGAATTAAACACATTTTTGCCCCTCTGCCCCTTTCCCTTGCTGGGAATACTTTTTAGTGCAATCTCACATTTCCTGGCTCTTGAGTGGTTAGGGAAACTGAAAACATTCAGAAGTTCCATGCCCTGTGAAAATACACTTCAAGACATTAACTTCAAGTTAACATTTATTGACAGAGATTTTTATTTTTATTTCCCTAGATGTTGATGCTCACAAGTGTTGCAGTCATAGGTTCTGCTGCAACTGCCACTGCTCCATCATTCCTTTGTAACTTCCTGGGAATCTGAAGCCTTGGCCTTGACTGCTGGGTGAGCATCTCTGTGTCATGCTTATGGTGAAGACACAGTCACCAAAACAGACTTCTTGGCTGGTAACAGATGCTCTGTTCCTCTCCCTCAATTTCAAAGTACAGTTCCTGTCTGGGTTTCTGTTCTTTAAACTTTGAATCACAGTATAATTCAGGCTGGGAGAGAACTCTGGACCTAGTCCAGCTGCCTTTTTAAATGGTATCAGCTCTGAGATTAGACCAGGACTTTTATCTAGTCAGGCCTTGAAATCTCCAAGGATGGAGACTGCACAGTCTCTCCAGACAACCTGTTCCAGTGCTCGACTCTCCCTGTCACCCTGATGGGCTGGGCTGTAACAGACTACCATATCCTTGTCACTCTTCCTGGCTTCTTTTCTGATCCTGACAAATGCTCTCAATCAGATTGCCATCCATTACAAATATTCAAGCTGCTCCTTTGTGTAGGAAGCCCCCTGAGTCTTCTCTTCTTTCCCAGTCTTTCCAGAGGAACTTGTATCCATCCGTCACAGTGCTCCCATCACATGTGAGCCTTCCCATTGTAGCTGTTACTCCAACAATGCTGTAGTAACAGCACAAGGAGCTCTAGTTCCTCTTGCTTGTTCCCCAGGCTACCACACATTTGTATCTGTACATTTGAGGTGGGTACCTGTTAATAATTTTTTATTATTCTTGAGGTCCCTTTTGTTCCTGTCACCCTGTATCCTTTTCTCTCAATCCATGTCCACAAGCTGGCGTAAGTGGAGGTTATTATTGTCCACCCTTATTGTTCTGGCTGAATGCCTTGATATGGCCACTGCGCAAATCCAGGTTACAAAGTCCTCATGACATTCAAATCCTGACTAAAAATTAATTTCTAAAAGACTCTGCAGGAAAATAAGAGTCTGTGAGTACCAGACTGGTATATTGTACTGGCAGAAAAGCCCCAGAAAATACATTTGTGCTGCTGTAGTGGAGCATGATGGAAACATCCAAGGTAGCCTCAGCTGTGCTGGTGCAGCTGCAGAAAAGCACATAACACCATGTAGAGATACTGGTGCAGGTGTGGAATCATCTTAGAGCACAGTGCTGCATCTACAGGACCTCATTGCTTCCACAACTGCACTAGTGTGGTATAGGATGCTGCTGCCTGGCAGAGCTTGTCCGCTTGGATTTGGCACATTTCTGGTGCTGTGTCACCTCTGGATCTAGAGCAGTCGGGCTCTCAACTGCAGCCTCACTGTGCTCTGTGCTCACACTGGGTCTGTGGTCATTGAGGAATTGTGTTCTTAGAACAGCATAGTCTTGCAGATTTGTTTCTAAGTTTAATTTCTTTTAGGCTCTCTAGCAGGACAGACTATGTTTTTTCTTAAAATTTTGTCCCTTTGGGAAAAGGAAAGGTAGACAAACAGCCTTTATTGGAATGATTTTACCAACAAACTAGTTAAAGGTCCATGCCAAGTTCAGCTACAGCAAGTTTAGGATTTCCAGCCTGGGCTGCTTTGAAAATATGATGAATCAACAATTAGGAAGTTTTTAAAAGTGAAATCATCCTGTTCATTGGAAAGCTCTCTCTTCCAAATGCCTTGCCTTGCTTATCACAAAATTACCACCAAGGTTTTCTTCTAGTACAAAATTCTTCTGAACGTCACGGGTAATTTGGGGTCAGTTTGTTTAAAACAAGGGTTAGGATTTATACGAGGCTAACCTGTGCCTGGAGATAAAATCTCCTTCTCCATAAATCCTCTTAGTTGAAAGTCTTGATCCACTGCTTTTGCAGACCTGTTTCTCATACTTTCTTTAATCAGAGGATTGGTTTACTTTCTTCTGCAGGACCTCCCTGCTTCTTTTCCCTCTCCTCATTGTCTTTTCATCATATCTCATCTGATCTGATCTGTAAAGAATAGTATTTCACTTGGCCCCTAGTATTTGTGGAGCAATAGTGAGTACAGCTGCATTCAAGAAACAGGTAGCTTTTAAAATGTGGCTCTCACATTGTGATGTAATTTTTTTTTTTTTATTACTGCTTCACTTCTTGTGTAGATTGAGTCTCCATACTGCATTTCCCATGGCTCATAGAGGGATCAATTAGCTGGACTTGATGGGCCTCACCTATACTGACCATATATTTTTGGGAAGTCTTTTCATTTAAGAAACTTGTTTAACACAGTCTGTAGTATTAGAAAGCAGAAGTTCCCTGCAAATTTTTTGAGAGGTGCTTTATCCTTCAAGATTATTTCTGTTTCCCCTTGTTGTTATGGGGAAAACTATGTTCAATTTGTTTC